CAACTACTCTCTTGTTGTTTGGTGGTTTTAGCAAGAATGAACAAAGGGAACTAGTCCATCAAACCGCCCTCAATCGTCTTAGACAAGCTTCGAGAGTTTTTCTCATTTACTGTCATCCTTAATTTTTTCGGAGATAACAAATTATTTATCGTTAAGGAGAACAATAAAATATAGTTATATAAATGGAACTACAACAAACAAAATTGCGGAAGGTGATTTCGCAAGAGGACAGTAGAGATTCATTTTTTGTTAAAATTTCCGATGATATACCAGTATTGACGTGTAGTTTCAAATAAAATGAAAGTGGTATTGACACAAGAGACCGTCGTAAAATTTAATACAGATAAAATAGAAAGTTTGCTTATATAAGAGACGTAAAACCAGTGTTACAGTTAAACAGGAGATGGAAAACTGGAATTAGTCGTTGCCTTTCGATATTTAGGGAGTCGGATAACTCAGGATGGAAAAATCACTAAAACAAACAATAGCGCAAAGTTGGGTCCCTCTTAGCAAAAAGAAATCACTTCGTGCATCCTCATCGTCTACGGTCGTCAGTCCTAAAACTGGTTAGATACGCACCTCCACTCTTTCCTATCCTGAGCTAATCTTCGCATTTCCCAAAAATTGGAACAACCCACATCCTTAACTATTTGCGAACAGTAATCTAAGCTATATCTACCTCTATTCCTCTTTACTCCTGTTTCTGCCTCTACTATGTCTCTGACTAGACCTTCATGTCTGAGAAGGTGTCCTACTAACCTATCTCGCCTATTTCTTATTGACTTCCATAGAGTCCTCTGTTCTCCTATTATGTCTAATACTTCTTCATTTCTAACCTTCTCTATCCACGGTATCCTTCAGTCGTTGTTACACAACATTTCATCATTTCATTTCATGAGATCAATCAATTGGAAAATTCGAAAAACGATTATTAAAGAGCACGGTCATGGGCATAGCGGGATATTTTTCCTGCGGGGGGGACGATTTTTAATAGCTGTACGTTTATATAGGATTAATGTGGTTTGGTTTTTATGTTTTTAAACTTTGTGACGACATTGTGACTCGTCAGAGCCTTTCTCAGGGGGGGGGGGGCAATGAACTTGCAGTGCTCATGAGCTGTGTGATAAAACCTCTGCAGCTACCAGAGAAAAGCAAGTGAGGAAGTGCCGGCAGGAGTTACAAGTACAATTAGATTTATTAAATGTATGTTTGAAAAGGCATATGTACAAATACAAATACTTGTTGTAAAAAGTATTTAAATACTAATTTATTGCTTTTGAATATTTGAAGCAAATACTGCTGTTTATAACATAGAGTCATTGTTTTCTTTAAAGTGACTCAGTGCCCTACGGCGGAATCTCGCCATGAATGAATTGAAATGTAGGTGCACCACGAATGACGGTATCATATGTCCAAATTACAAACCGTCTCTATATTTTAACTAAATTCCTTTAATTGAAATATTACATACAAATACTAAATACTTTTAAGTTATTTAAATATAAATAATATAAAATACCGTTAAAGGTGTATGTTTGAAGCGCGACGCTGTACGGATGCGAAACATGGACAGTGGGCGAGCCGGAAATGAAAAGGTTAAAAGCTTTCGAAATGTGGTGTTACAGGCAAATGATAAGGATACCGTGTACAAAGAAGGTTGGAAATGAAAAGGTATTAGAAAGAATAGGAGAACAGAGGACTCTATGGAAGTCAATAAAAAATAGGCGAGATAGGTTAATAGAACACCTTCTCAAACATCTAGTCAGAGATACATTAGAGGCAGAAACGGGATAAGGAGGGGTAGAGGTAGACCTAGATTAGATTATATTATTTATTGATCGCAAATAAAAATTAATGATGTGGGATGTTCTAGTTTTAGGGAATTGCGAAGATTGGCTCAGGATAGGAAAGAGTGGAGGTGCGTGTCCAACCAGTCTTAGGACTGACGACCTTATGATGATGACCGTACCCTTTTGATACATTTACTTAGCGAAATACGCCAAATAGATATAGTATTTTTTATTATAAGTTGCATTAAGTAATTCATTTACGTATTTAATTTTATTAATTTTCGTTATGATATTATGCTATAAAGATTATTTTGCTTTACAATTAACCTCATCAATTGACAGTTTAAAGCAATCACATACTACATGGAAGCATGGATGAAAACGTTTTATGGGAATGAGCACATGATACGAACGAAAAGAAAATTGCCATGTTTTATTTTTTCAATTGATTTCATTCGATCTTTTGTGTGCACGATTCGCTGGTTTCATTTCATGTCGATTTTATGAAAAAGCCTTTTAATTCCATCAATACTTGATCGACACTTGGCAGTAATGGTTATTTTATTGGCAGCACAGAACTACAAAAAGCAGTATTAACATCGCTCATGGAGAGGATTGTAAATGAACGATATTTCAAACGGATTTATCGTATGTATAAATATAGAGGTACAAGTGAAGAAGTGAATAATAATGGGGTAATTTTTGTAATGAAAGGTTTAGTTTAAAACGTTTGCATCGCTAGTTAAATATTACTGGAGGATCTCGGTTTCTATAAAGTAATTCATTTTCTCTTCAAGGCGGAAGTAAAACATCAGGCAACGGATTTGATTGCTAGTAGCAGTAGTGGTTCGTGCCTGATTAATTCCAATCTAAAGAGAGAGAGGGAAAGAGAGAGAAAGAGTGAGAGTGGTGAACAAAGAAATCAATGTAAACAGAGATTCTTTCAGAACAACAATCCCTAACAGCAAAACTGATTGCACTGAAAAAAGTACTATAAAAGAAACAAAAACACTTCAAATAAGCAAAGAGGGTGGAATGGAAAGAGATATAATCAAAGACTAGAACTTGATCAGGAAAACTGTTACACAATTTAAGAAAATTGGTTGGGCTTTCTTTATCTTTTGGTTGTTGCGCTTGACTAATCTAATATAATCTGGTAATAATTAAAGTTAAAATTTTCAATCTTGGTAAAGGTCTAGATGATGGTCCCCACCCCCGAAGGGGATGGGGGTAGGGGGGGTTGAAAGATGAGGTCTCCCCACCACTTTACCATAAAAAGTTCGTGGCAGTCTCACCCCCATAAAAAGTTATGGGGGTTCAAAGTTAATAAATATGCCAATTTTTATACATATCTAGGCATGTAAATATTTATATAGTCATTCTTAAACAATATTCAAAGGTAAAACTAATGAAAAATACATAAAAATATTGAGAAAGTTATATAAAACATTATTTAAATATCATTATCAATAGGGTAGGTTAGGTTAGGTTAGGTTAAGTTATCGAGTTTTGTTCAAGTGACCAACCTCTTTCCATCCCCTACCTCCACCCGCTTGAAAATAATTTTTTTATTGAATTTTATTTGAATTATGGTGTATGAAAATTGTCAAAATAATCAACTTTCAACCCCCATAACTTTTTATGGGGGTGAGACCGTCGCAAATTTTTTATGGAGTTTTACTCAAGTGACCAGCCTCTTTCGATCCCCCCTACCCTCTTTCCACCCCCCTTACTCCCACCCAATCTGCCCCCTATAACTTTTTATGGGAGTGAGAACGGCACGAACTTTTTATGGTACAGTGGTTGGGGAGACCTCCTCTTTCGATCCCACCCACGCCCGCCGGGGTGGGGGATCTAGACATTTACCTAAATCTTAAAAGAATAATGTGAATAGGGATGAAAATTTTACAAAAGAAAACAAACGATTTCGGATATAGCATTAGCTACTGCTACGAATATTCAGTATAGGTAACCATTTATTTAAACACTATATACACTTATTTACTTAAATAGTTGCTTATTTATTTCACTACTTCTTATAATAATTATACGACCGCGTGTACTTCTCGTCTTCTCGTTATTTACATCACCTGTCTTTAATCGACTGTCCTCCGTCGAATGGTAAATGCTTATTTATACAGTCACAGAACATTCTCGATTATTTTCAGAAGGCTTCCCGGCAGTATCATCTTTCATAGCGCGATCTTGACTTGTCTCTGCAAATGATTTACGATCCGCAAATAGCGATATCAAAGATGCAGAGGTACTAGTTGTATCGATCGCAGCCGGAGGCGCTCGATCACAACAATACGGTGAAATGTACTTATAACGTCTATGGGATTCATAATGGAGTCTTTATGTCATACAAATAAGTTGATCGTCGTGATTTTTTCTGTCTCCAGTTATTTCTTTTTAAACTCCGGGACATTCTGTTCGTTTCAAGAAGTTTGAGATATGCCCCTTCCCTTGATTAGGATGCGCCGTAGCATAATTCCAAATTGAATCACATTTGTCCGCGAAGCTCATTTCTCTACCGATCATCGAGCGAGAACTAGATAAAAGTGTACAGTACCATTTGCAAAATTACTTATTAACTGCCTCGTTAAAATTTAAGAATATGCTTTATTTAAAAGCATATTTAGCCAATAATAACAAGTGAATTAACTTAACGTTCTACACACCTATAAAACTTTTGCTTTGTTTTCTATTGTCAATTTATATATAGATTTTTGTTTTAAGAAATTGCTAAACATTTTCGTCTAGTACTGTACGGTTCTAGCCGATCTCCTAAGACCGCTCATCGAGAGCTCTGCTCGTTCAAGCTTGTTCCAACTATTTCTGTCTTGCTCACGCCTAGTGTGTATTCTTTCTATCTTCGCGCAGATTTCTTCTATTCTAACAAATTGAAATAGACAGGCAGATGTTTGTCGCATTTTGCATTAATTCAAATAATCCGTATTACGAATTTCTCTTCCTTTTCCTTGTTTATTATCTGGTAGCGTATCATTTAATGATCTGTTTTTATCAGGGAACGTTAAGTAATCAGAGAAAAACAAAATAAGTGTAACGGTCTAATCATCTTACGTTCTTGCGACCATTTATCCCCCGAAGACCCAAGTTGCGAAGAGAAATAAACAAAGAATTAAGAGTTCTACCTTCATGACCTTATCGGGGCGTAAAAGTTAAAGTAATTTAATTAATTAAGCTAACCTTTATAAACCTTGTAAGAATTGCGTCTCAGCATGAGCTTAGCGCCATCCTCGCGGCGCCAAATGATTCGGGGCGGAGGATTACCGGCAGCTTTGCAACTGAGGGTGACATTCTCCCCTTCCTGCACTGTAATGTCACCGCTCGTCAGGCTGTCGTCTATATTCGGTGGAACTGGAAATAAAAGAACGTACATTGAATTTACCAAGTCCATTCATCTACATTTAATTACTTTCTGTCAACTATTATTTATCATAATTCATAATTTTTCAAAATATTTATTGTCTCCTTCTTGAATAAGACAAAAGCTTTAGGAGACAGGCCCTTTATCAAATAAAACTAGAGTTTTTTATAAGGTAAAAGTCATAATGTTATGATATCTATGTATCTATACGACGAGTGTAAAATATTTCGCTTTACTTTAAACCAGGATGTTTCTGAAATGAGTGTAGAACTAACTATATGTAACACAGAATCGCATGGTGAGTACAGCAGCGTGGTTAAGTTGTTTTTTAAGAAAACCATAACAATTAACAATCAGAGGCCGGTCCTGCGCGTGAATTGGCATCCACAAGGATATGGACTCAGCAGCTGCACCGATCATGAATATAAGCATCAACAACTACTACACTTATATGTATAGACGCCCATAAGGTAAAAATGAATTATAAGATTTGTTAGAAAATCGTTCATGATAAGCAACATTCATCCTCAAACACCCTATGAATTAAATGACCTCTACAGGACTTTTCTGTCAAAACCACCTACAGAAATCCAGTAGCGGATGAAAATCACTTTCCTGTAAAGCTTGCATCCGCAACAAATGATAAAAAACTCTTGGGTATTTCATTCCCACCAGCCAGTAATCCTGGTGGGCGGGCAGTCCCTCTGGACTACGTCGGAAGGTAGGGCGGAAGGCCCTCTTCAGCCTGCTTTCAGGAATCGTGGGAATGGGTGGGTGGTGGTTCGGGTGAGAAAGATGAGACGGACGAAATGAAGACAGAAGAGAGTGAAAGATTATCTGTGGAATATTACTGCCTCAGCATTTGCCTAGGTGATCCAAGGAAACCACAGAAAACTTGGACCAAAGCAGACGGACTCGGAATTGAACCGGCGTCCTCCCGAATGCTTAGCAATGGGCTAAACCTCTAGGCCATGCCACTCGGTAGCAAATGATAAGCAATGAGCAATTGTCCTTTAAATATTTGCGACACTGTCACATAAGAGGAGTCAATGTTCCATGCTATTTCTCATGTACCATTTGGGATTTGTCTTCTATGAAATCAAGGATTTCGTCTTCTACAGCAGCGATATGGTTCAGGCCCGCAAGTAAGTATCATGTGACATCACTGTACCAACAACTATTCTACAATACTGACCTACTCCCATGACTTGCATTGGATCGCAGAATAAGTTTGCTAAACTGCATCGTTGAAGCTAACTTCAAGGAGGTGTCGTAAATTGCACTTTTAATTTTTTGGAGGTTAGATCTCATTCTAATTCTTAGTGAAATTTATAAATATAAATATGACTAATTGTTATTTTTGGCTGTATGTAGTCAAAAGACATAATAAATAAGTAAATATTGTTACTGTTTTTTTTTGTATATCTTTATATTGAGAGGTCATACCGAAGACAATTATTTTGTTTTTTACTTCTTTGCTTAGCAGAGAGGCGCCAGTAAACGGATCCTTTGTTGGGTATTGATTACTATAAAAATACAGTTTAGTCATAACGAACAAATTTATTTCATCTAAAAATTATATTATTCGTTACTACAATTGACACATCGAACTAGAATAGAATCCATATTACTATCCTTGGTTACCTTCTGGTTTTACCTATATATATACGAAAAAGTTCCAGCAAATTTGACAGTTTACCTAGCTGACATAGAGAACTCTGAGCCCGCCCCCTCAACGCAATATAGGGAACTGCTCATGTGGCATCGTAGCGTGAACACTAGGGAAGCTTGGGGACGCTTTACTGCAAGAACTTTAGGAGACCATTGTGCGATCCTCATAGTGTAGTGTCACGGGAACTTTAAAATGCGGCAGAAGTAAGTAAAAAATATTAAATTTACATTATGGGCTCATTTTCATACGAAAATATAAAATTTAACAACCAACTCTTTTATTAATACTTTTCATGTTCATAGACAGCCATGAAACAAGCATCACTAACTTTATGATAAAATATACTAAAAGTAATGCCGTTATTATCTTTCTTTAAGTATTATAACTTTGAGCCATTTATTCCGAAAATTAACGGAGTGGTTTCATTTTTTACAGCGGCTTCTACACAAAAATGCAATATTTTCCCAGCTTGCCGGTATCGCAATGAATATAATTAAGAATGAAAGCCTCTCTGACAACTTTCGAATAATTTATTTCCAAGTTTAGCGGCCATGGAAGGAAAACAATGATTTATATAGCAAGAAATGTCCAATTAAGTGAAGGCAAAGGGAACAGGAATCTTTGAAATGAAATTCTGGCGAGTTTAAAATTCCAAACATAAATATCAATAATACTTTTCCTCTTCTTCTTTATGTATTTTTTTTTTTATTAAGTTCATGCTGTACAGTAACCTTAGAAACAGAAGACGAACACAGTTTTGTTATTGTTAGTACTTTCTTCAAATGTTCTCGCATGTAATAAAGCCTTTTAATGTAGGCTACGTACTTCATTTCATAGAGAAACTTTCCGAAACTAAGAGCCATATCAACATAAACACTGAATCTTCAGAAAATTAAACAAGTCTGTAAAAAATATCCTTGAATTTACCTATTTAATTTACTTTATTAAACGTAGTACTCGAGTTAATTGATGCATCTACTGTTAAGCTTTAATATTAAGAATTATTAACGACTTTATAGTAAACTAGCTTTTCCCCGCGGCTTCGCTCGTAGAAATTAATATTGTTTCTCCATAAAACCATTGAACTACCAATTCACCCTTACAACCTTTTAATTTTATGTAATGTCGCCATCTTAGATTTTAAATACAAACGTAGCAACAACGTTTCATCCTTAAGGGTTGATTTTTAAAAATTGCCAAAACACGTATTTGCTTAATTTTAACAATGAGCAATCTTCGAGTAAATCCGAGCACAAATGAAATATATCCCATGGAAACGTTGCAATCTCTTTTCATTTGATTAATAATATCAAACAGTATATATACCAAGTTTCTAGTAAATTCAACCACAAATAAAGTATGTTCCAAACAAAAATTGCAACACCTTTTTAACCCCCCTTTGGAGGTTGAATTTTTTAAAATGTCGAGATAGGTCTTTCAGAAATTGAATGAGAGACCATTAAGACTAAGTTTCAAGTAAATCTGACCACAAATAATCTAGTGTAGCGACCACGAGCGTGATTGTGTGCGATCGGGCACACGTGTGTGTGAGCGGCTTATCGATTCGCCGACTAGCCGCGGGCACCTTTCTTCATGTGTGCCGTATTTGTAAATGTGTGTGTCACACCTGCGTTTTGGGAAAGCTGTTAACAGTTCAAAGAAAAAATAAATTATACGGACGTTTTCCAGAAGGTTCCGGAAAGTAAACAAAAGGAAGAGACGATCGCCGAGAGATAAAGAAATAAAGTGACCATTGCAGAAGTGAATCGAGAAATAAATTGATTGTGATAGCAGTAAAATAAATAGGGCATACTTAACCATAGACGTTTAGCTGTCAGTTGCGCTTTGTTATTCCATGTCAGTTGCGTTTTGTTATACCATTTTTAACAAATGAACGACTAGACTGATAAATTTTTCGTTTTACTGTCAGTTGCGTTTTGTTATTTCATATCAATAGCGTTTTCTTATACCAAGTTTTTTTCTCCATGGGAACGGGTTAAAAAGTATTCTATATCCGTGTCTTGGTTTTAAGCTACCTCCCCACCAATTTTCAACCAAATCGGTTCAGCCGTTCTTGAGTTATAAATAGTGTAACTAAAACGACTTTCTTTTATATAAATAGATACGATTTATTAAGGGTGTAATTTACGAATGAACAGGGTGGTAAGCCATTTTTCTAGAAAAGTTTGTGGACAATTAAAGGAGAATAACTCAACAAGGTATTTTTTAAACGACACTCAAAGAAGAATTATGCCAATAATGTTTTCATTGTTTATTAATTATGATCTTGGCTTCAATATATTGTATTTAATGCTGGTCTTGGCATAATATTGATTTTATTATTTGGTCATCCTGAATCCTGAATTATTTTTTGTTGAAACCGAAACCTACCAGCGGTAACAGTATGCCGGCCGTCTTCTACCATTTGACATCTGGCACTTAGAGAAAACAACATTATTTTGGGATGAAATGAACCATCCTGTGGGATAAACTGGACTCACCCAATCCCTCGTTCAACTGCCGATACTCTCGCCTCGACATATCATTCATACTCATATTCGTTGTAGGTGAAACATGTGGACGTTCGAGAATTAGATTCAAAGAACATCATCGAACCTTAAGTGTAAAGATGTGGCAAAACCGTCAAGGTCAATTTACATGATGGACATGGAAATTAAAATATTGTTTCCCTACAGGCATACATAACTAAAACAATATTAACGTTAGGGTGCCTTTGAAAAGAGAAAAAGCAGGAAAGCGAGAATTTTCCCATTTATGGTTCATACATTATTCAAACGAATATATCAGACACCAGCACAGTTTCTGTCGCCTATTTCGTTTGCCTTTTTATTTTTGCCACTTTACCGCGATATTAGCCCTTGTTACACCTAATGGATCGGCAAGGGCGTGAAACGTAAGAAAGAACATGCTGAACCACTCGTGCCGCTACATGATGGTTATGCAAAAAGGTACCTGTACCCAATGATTTCAATCAAGCGTGAATGAAACACAGTTTCGCAATAATATCCTACTTTTTGTCTCCGAACGAATTCGTCGAATTTGCGATTTAATTTGAGTAGACAAAGTTCTTTGTACATCAGCAGCAAAGAAGTAGGAGCAGAGAGAACAGTTAAAATTGCGAGTTAGGTTTACATTTGATGGCCACCGCGTGGAACAAATGAGAAATAAAAGTCAACGATTTTACATGAAATTTGTCACGTAACACTAAATGCGCGGGCTCAAGTTGTTGTAGCTCTAAAATTTTTAAAATACATTACGTATGAATATGAACATATTCGTTGTGAATTTAAAAAGTTA